CGGTGATGGTTTAACATGGTGATGGTTTAACACGGTGATGGTTTAACACGGTGATGGTTTAACATGGTGATGGTTTAACGTGGTTATGGTTTAGCGTGGTGATGGTTTAACACGGTGACGGTTTAACATGGTGATGGCTTAACATGGTGATGGTTTAACATGGTGATGGCTTAACATGGTGAATGGCTTAACATGCATGGCTTAACACGGTGATGGTCAATATGATGGTTTAACATATGATGGTTTAACACGGTGATGGCTTAACATGGTGATGGCTTAACACGGTGATGGTTTAACACGGTGATGGCTTAACACGCAGATGGTTTAACACGGTGATGGTTTAACAATAATTTGCTTAAGATGCAGATGGCTTAACAATATGATGGTTTAAGATGGTGATGGCTTAACATGGTGATGGTTTAACATGGTGATGGTTTAACACGGTGATGGTTTAACATGATGGTTTAACATGGTGATGGTTTGGATGGTGATGGGCTTAACACGGTGATGGCTTAACACGGTGATGGTTTAACACGGTGATGGTATAACACGGTGATGGTTTAACATGGTGATGGTTTAACACGGTGATGTGGCTTAACGTGATGGTTTCAACGTGGTGATGGCTAGCGTGGTGATGGCTTGCGACGGCTTAACATGGTGATGGCTTAACATGGTGATGGTTTAACAGGATGTTTAACACGGTGATGGTTTAACACGGTGATGGTTTAACACGGTGATGGTTTAACATGGTGATGGTTTAACACGGTGATGGTTTAACACGGTGATGGTTTAACACGGTGATGGTTTAACACGGTGATGGTTTAACACGGTGATGGTTTAACACGGTGATGGTTTAACAATATGATGGTTTAAGATGGTGATGGTTTAACACGGTGATGGTTTAACACGGTGATGGCTTAACATGGTGATGGTTTAACACGGTGATGGCTTAACATGGTGATGGCTTAACATGGTGATGGCTTAACACGGTGATGGTTTACTTGGGTGATGGCTTAACACTATGATGATTTAACATGGTGATGGCTTAACATGGTGATGGTTTAACACTTAAGATGGTTTAACATGGTGATGGTTTAACATGATGGTTTAACATGGTTTAACATGGTGATGGTTTAACATGATGGTTTAACATGGTGACGATTTAACATGATGGTTTAACATGGTGATGATGTAACATGGTGATGGTTTAGGATGATGATGGTTTAACACGGTGATGGTTTAACAATATGATGGTTTAAGATGGTGATGGTTTAACATGGTGATGGTTTAACATGGTGATGGTTTAACGTGGTGATGGTTTAACATGGTGATGGTTTAACATGGTGATGGTTTAACGTGGTGATGGTTTAACACGGTGATGGTTTAACATGGTGATGGTTTAACGTGGTGATGGTTTAACATGGTGATGGTTTAACGTGGTGATGGTTTAACGTGGTGATGGTTTAACACGGTGATGGTTTAACACGGTGATGTTTTAACGTGGTGATGGTTTAACATGGTGATGGTTTAACATGGTGATGGTTTAACATGGTGATGGTTTAACATGGTGATGGTTTAACATGGTGATGGTTTAACGTGGCGATGGTTTAACATGATGATGGTTTAACACGGTGATGGTTTAACACGGTGATGGTTTAACAATGTGATGGTTTAAGATGGTGATTCTTTAACATGGTGATTCTTTAGCATGGTGATTCTTTAGCATGGTGATTCTTTAGCATGGTGATTCTTTAGCATGGTGATTCTTTAGCATGGTGATTCTTTAGCATGGTGATTCTTTAGCATGGTGATTCTTTAGCATGGTGATTCTTTAACATGGTGATTCTTTAACATGGTGATTCTTTAACATGGTGATTCTTTAACATGGTGATGCTTTAGCATGGTGATTCTTTAGCATGGTGATTCTTTAACATGGTGATTCTTTAACATGGTGATTCTTTAGTGTGGTGATTCTTTAACATGGTGATTCTTTAGCATGGTGATTCTTTAGCATGGTGATTCTTTAGCATGGTGATTCTTTAACATGGTGATTCTTTAGCATGGTGATTCTTTAGCATGGTGATTCTTTAGCATGGTGATTCTTTAGCATGGTGATTCTTTAACGTGGTGATTCTTTTACATGGTGATTCTTTTACATGGTGATTCTTTAGCATGGTGATTCTTTAACATGGTGATTCTTTAGCATGGTGATTCTTTAGCATGGTGATTCTTTAACATGGTGATTCTTTAACATGGTGATTCTTTAGCATGGTGATTCTTTAACATGGTGATTTTTTAACATGGTGATTCTTCAGCATGGTGATTCTTCAGCATGGTGATTCTTCAGCATGGTGATTCTTTAGCATGGTGATTCTTTAACATGGTGATTCTTTAACATGGCGATTCTTTAACATGGTGATTCTTTAGCATGGCGATTCTTTAGCATGGTGATTCTTTAGCATGGCGATTCTTTAGCATGGTGATTCTTTAACATGGTGATTCTTTAGCATGGTGATTCTTTAGCATGGCGATTCTTTGAAGCCACACATCCACAACATTGCTAAAGCTGCCTCCCGAAAGCTGGGAATGCTGTACAGATGCCGTAGCTACTTCACTCCTGAGCAGTTGCTTCAAGTATATAAGGGATTCATTCGTCCTAACTTGGAATACTGCTCTCATATCTGGGGTGGCTCTTCTTCTGTCTAACTTTTTTTTTTACGGGGAGTAGCCCAACCGGACACAGGTCACTGACCCACATCGGGGCCTGGGTGGCGAAAATGTAATAAAAATAATAATAATAATAATAATAATAATAATAATAATAATAATAATAATAATAAATAATAAATGTTCTTATTACCTTGAGGCGTTCCTACCCGGAGCATTACCTTGAGGCGTTCCTACCCGGAGCATAACCTTGAGGCGTCCCTACCTGGAGCATAACCATGAGGCGTCCCTACCCGGAGCATAACCTTGAGGCGTCCCTACCTGGAGCAATACCTTCCGCATCCCTACCCGGAGCATAGCCATGAGGCGTCCCTACCCGGAGCATAACCTGAGGCGTCCCTACCCGGGCATCCTAGGCTTACCCGATCCCAACCTTGAGGCATCCTACCCGAGCATAACCATGGCGTCCCTACCTGGAGCAATACCGAGGCGTCCCTACCCGGAGCATAACCACGAGGCGTCCCTACCCGGAGCATAACCCTGAGGCGTCCCTTCCCGGATCCTAACCTTGAGGCATCCCTACCCGGAGCATAACCATGAGGCGTCCCTACCTGGAGCAATACCTTGAGGCATCCCTACCCGGAGCATAACCCTGAGGCGTCCCTACCCGGAGCATAACCCTGAGGCGTCCCTACCCGGAGCATAACCTTGAGGCGTCCCTACCCGGAGCATTACCTTGAGGCGTCCCTACCTGGAGTATGACCCTGTGGTGACTCGTTCTTTACTCATCACAATTGCATTATTCTGATGTCTATGAACGTAAATATACAAGTGAGGCGGCTGAATGGATACAGCACTCGCTTCCTACCTCAAGAGTCGCTGGTTCGTGTACTACCAGTCCACCCAGGTTTAAATAGGTACTGAACTTGGTGTTGGAGAAGTGGAGGAGGTTAAGTACAGAGGCGGTCATGCTTCCTCCTCGTGTAGAGAAAGGCCTACATTTGTGTAACGTGTACCCACCACCCCTAGTGTGTCGCCATACTTGTGGGACCAACTTTCACTTTTCAATGTGGATACAATTCCCAATCATTCAAGTATTTATAAATGGTTACATAATTGCACTGACTGACATTTGAATCAAAGGTGAAGGAAGTAAATGGTTATATGACTCGTCCTCCTTGTCAAGCGGGATGAATGCGCTACTGTAAATTGTTAACTTTAATCCTCTTCACCACTGACCGGTTTGTTAGCCACTAGGGCGGTCGGTCACGTCTCTGTTACAGTGTTACACACTGTTGGCAAGTACTGTCTCTGTTATGCACTGTTGGTATGTACTGGCTCTCTCTTACGCACTGTTGGCATGTACTGGCTCTCTCTTACGCAATGGTGGCAAGTACTGGGCATGTACTGTACTGGCTCCTAATTGTACCTGCGCCAGTTTTGGTCAAGTCTGGTTTTAAATGAGTTCACACGTTCTCTTCCTTCTGCTAGACCGCTGTATATTTATTGTGCGGGGCAACTTATATTCAGCTTACGATAATTATTAATTACTTTTGCATGCAGAAAACATTAAGATCGCCATTTCTCTGTTCCAACAAGCGTTCCTTAAATTTCATGTGCAATACAGACAAGGATTATTAATTTTTTAAACCAGCTTTCGTGTGATATAAAGAACTAGTAATTACACACGTTATTAAAAATGAACATGTAATATAATACTTCAGAATCTCCTACAGACCTACTTGAGTTATTAGTGAGTGTAAAAATTTATGGTCTATCAATTGAGTTTAATCCGTTTTCTTTAGTTACCTTTAATGGGGTGGACTGAGCTAGTGGTCGTCGCCTCTAGCTGCTGAACGTCTCGATAGTGGCGACTGACTTTTTTTTCTCTACTTACTGCTGACATCGACGACGTGTGACCAGAGGTCCTTACTTACTGCTGACGTCGTTGCCACAGAGGCCGTACTTACTGCTGACGTCGTTGCCATAGAGGTCGTACTTACTGCTGACATCGTTGCCATAGAGGTCGTACTTACTGCTGACGTCGTTGCCATAGAGGTCGTACTTACTGCTGACGTCGTTGCCATAGAGGTCGTACTTACTGCTGACGTCGTTGCCACAGAGGCCATACTTACTGCTGACGTCGTTGCCATAGAGGTCGTACTTACTGCTGACATCGTTGCCATAGAGGTCGTACTTACTGCTGACGTCGTTGCCATAGAGGTCGTACTTACTGCTGACGTCGTTGCCACAGAGGCCATACTTACTGCTGACGTCGTTGCCATAGAGGTCGTACTTACTGCTGACGTCGTTGCCATAGAGGCCGTACTTACTGCTGACGTCGTTGCCATAGAGGTAGTACTTGAGGGTTGTGCACACCGTGACCTCCACCAGCAGCAGCACCATGAAGAAGGCGAGGAAAGAGTTCATTGACCTGAACAAGAAAATCCCGTTAAGGTCACTGATGAATTTGACAAGTCCTGACCTATCCTGACTTATCATGATGTATCCTGACCTATCCTGACCTATCCTGACCTATCCTGATGTATCCTGACCTATCCTGATGTATCCTGACCTATCCTGACCTATCCTGATGTATACTGGCCTATCCTGATGTATCCTGACCTATCCTGATGTATCCTGACCTATCCTGATGTATCCTGACCTATCCTGATGTATCCTGATGTATCCTGACCTATCCTGATGTATCCTGACCTATCCTGACCTATCCTGATGTATACTGGCCTATCCTGATGTATCCTGACCTATCCTGATGTATCCTGGTGTATCCTGACCTATCCTCTGGTGTATCCTGATGTATCCTGACCTATCCTGATGTATGTGACTATCTGATGTATCCTTATGTATCCTGACCTATCTGATGTATCCTGGCTATCACAGTGTATCACCTATCTGTTATCTGATGTATCCTGACCTATATATATATCCTGATGTATCCTGACCTATCCTGATGTATCCTGATGTATCCTGACCTATCCTGATGTATCCTGACCTATCCTGATGTATCCTGACCTATCCTGGTGTATCCTGATGTATCCTGACCTATCCTGATGTATCCTGACCTATCCTGATGTATCCTGACCTATCCTGATGTATCCTGATGTGTCCTGACCTGTCCTGATGTATCCTGACCTATCCTGATGTATTTTGACCTATCTTGATGTATCCTGACCTATCCTGACCTATCCTGATGTATCCTGACACATCCTGATGTACTCTGACCTATCCTTATGTATCCTGACATATCCTGATGTATCCTGACCTGTCCTGATGTATCCTGACCTATCCTGATGTATTTTGACCTATCTTGATGTATCCTGGCCTATCATGACCTATCCTGATGTACCCTGACCTATCCTGATGTATCCTGATACATCCTGATCTATTTTGATCTGCTCTGACCTAAATTGATCTAGCCCCACCTATCTTGATCTACTCTGACCTATCCTGACCTATCCTGATGTATCCTAATCTATTCTGATCTGTCTTCATCTATTCTGACCTATCCTTACCTATTGTTATCTATTGTCATCTATTCTGACCTATCCTTACCTATTGTTATCTATTGTCATCTATCCTTCCCTATCCTGATATATCCTGACATATCGTGGGCGACCTTCACCCATCCTCAACTATTCTGAACTGTTCTGACCTATATTAACCTATATTAACTTAAACCTGATTTAAACTACCAAATTTACTTCATCTTAATATATCATGATCTATCTTACAAAAGTAAATCTAAGCTAAAACAAGCCAGTGATCTGACCAGTTCTTTTAGTTAAGTTTTTTACTTTGGGTTAAGTTAGGTTTAAATTATATATGGTTAGGTTAGAAAACATTTGTGGACTATGTTGGAGAGGGTCGATGATCCACCAAGATTTTTAAACATCGTCCGCCAGATGCATGATGGAATGCAAGCCCGGGTACCTGTGGGTGGTGTGCAGTCAGAACCATTTAGTGTCCAAATGGGCGTAAAACAGGGTTGTGTGCTGGCACCTGTGTTGTTTAACATCTTTTTGCTGGCTGTAGCACAACGTCTTGATGCCTACACAAAGACCTTAACAACTCGGGTCACAGAACTACATTATGCAGATGACTGTGCAATAATGACACATAACAGAGAATCTATGTAACGTGCACTGGACGTGATCTCAGGTATTTACAGCTCGCTTGGTTTGCAAATTAACACTCAGAAGACTGAGATTTTTGTCCAGCCCATTGTTCCACCAATAGAAGCATCACAATTCTACATTAATGGAGACCCTATCAAAATAGTAAACCAGTTTAAGTACCTTGGTAGCACTCTCACACCCACCTGCTCACTGGATATGGAAATTCAAACCAGATTCAATTTAGCTCAGCTGCATTTGGACGTTTGAGAACAAGAGTCTTTCTCAACAATGACCTCAAATATGGAACGAAGACTGCAGCTTATCTCGCGGTCTCTATATCTACATTATTATATGCCCCAGAAACCTGGACTCCGTACAAACGCCTTATCCAAATCTTGGAAAACTTCCACACTAGACGCTTTAAGCGTATCTTTGGAATATCCTGGGAAGATAGAGTGACTCATGAAGAAACTCTGCTAGCCAAATGACACTTGCGCTGGCTTGGACATGTTATCAGGATGCCAGACCACCGGCTTCCAGGACAAATATTATATGGCAAGATCTCACATGGAAGCCGCTCGGTGGGAGGACAGAAAAAGAGATTTAAGGACCTCTCTAACACTCTACTCAAGTGCTGTAATATACAACCAAATTCACTGGAGCAACTCGCCTCAGACTGTTCCTTATGGCGACTCAACATGCCATAGAGGAGCGGAAACACTTTGACACCTCACTGAACCAAACGAGAGCTACTAAACTAGCCCAACGACATCAGAGGGCTCAAGGCATAATTACTCTGAATGAACAACATCCCTGTCACTTATGCAACAAGATCTGCGCCTCCAGGATTGGACTCCATAGTCATCTACGGTGGCATCAGAGGGATAACACAACTCATCAATCATCTCATCTGGAGCAACGTCGTTGACTTCGATGGAGTGCCATAAGTAAGCAGTGTGTGTGTGTGTGTGTGTGTGTGTGTGTGTGTGTGTGTGTCAAGGTAAACGCTCACTTCTCAACAGTGTGTGTGTGTGTGTGTGTAAACACTCACTTCTCAACAATGGAGAACTTGTTGCTGGTCATCTTAGAGTTGAGAGCCATCTTGGTCTCCTCCCCTGTGTAGATGGCGACCCCTGGGGGAGAGAGGCATGGTGAGAGATTAACGGTTCACAAATTTATTGACAAAGCTTGTAGTAGTACAGTTTGCCTATTCTGAGTAATTCAGTCAGGTCTTGACACTGAGAGTGCTGTCATTTCTCACTGCCACGCAGGACAGAGGTTCATATACAGAGGGTGTGGTGACAGAGAGAGGCATGGTGAGAGAGAGAGAGAGCCACGTACCATACACTGTAGATGTATTCTTGAGCCGGGCGCCCCTGGGCAGGAGGTTGTCAGTGTTGAGGGAGGCAGTGGTAGGAAGGCCGGAGCCCCGATACACTTCCATCTTGCCCTTAAAGTCGTATAAGTTGGCGTGAGGCAGCTGAGGACAGTGTGAGATACTGCTCAAGTAACTGCATGTTTATCTGTCTATATGTTTGTGCCTGTTTGTGTTACTGTCTCTTTTTCTGTTTGTTATATTGTACAGATGGTGTGTAATATCCTCCCCCACACACACACACACTACCTAATATTCAAAATACATTGTTTGGGTCGGTTACACCACAAGTTCCTTACTATCCCAAAATTCTGGCCTGTTGTGAGTATACGCCATATATTAATGGTCTTATACATTAATATATCTTTTTATCTTACATTTTCTAATATAAAGTAAAAGGAAGATCATTAAGACTCTTTCATGAGGTCAAGTTAGGTCAATATTGAAAGATTATTCATTTATTATTACGATGATGAAAGTGAAAAAAAAACAGAAACGGATTTGTTCAGGTAATGTTTTGTTATTCATTTATTATTACGATGATGAAAGTGAAAAAAAAACAGAAACGGATTTGTTCAGGTAATGTTTTGTGGAGTATGAGTCATAACAGGTATGGTGTGTTACAGGTGAGGTGAGGGTGTGATACAGGTGAGGTGAGGGTGTACAGGTGAGGGAAGGTGTGTTACAGGTGAGGGAGGGGTGTGTTACAGGTGAGGTGAGGGGTGTGTTACAGGTGAGGTGAGGGTGTGTTACAGATGAGGGAAGGGTGTGTTACAGGTGAGAGGAGGGTGTGGTTGGAGGGTGTGTGTTACAGGTGAGGAGGGTGTGTTACAGGTGAGGGGAGGGTGTGTTACAGGTGAGGAGGGTGTGTTACAGGTGAGGTGAGGGTGTGTTACAGGTGAGGGGAGGGTGTGTTACAGGTGAGGGAAGGGTGTGTTACAGGTGAGGGAAGGGTGTGTTACAGGTGAGGTGAGGGTGTGTTACAGGTGAGGTGAGGGTGTGTTACAGGTGAGGTGGGGTGTGTTACAGGTGAGGTGAGGGACAGGTGAGAGGAGGGTGTGTTACAGGTGAGGGAAGGGTGTGTTACAGGTGAGGGAAGGTGTGTTACAGGTGAGGTGAGGGTGTGGGTACAGGTGAGGTGAGGTGTGTTACAGGTGAGGTGAGGGTGTGTTACAGGTGGTGAGGGGTGTGTTTACAGGTGAGGTGAGGGTGTGTTACAGGTGAGACAGGTGAGGGGAGGGTGTTACAGGTGAGGTGAGGGGTGTTACAGGTGAGAGGAGGGTGTTACAGGTGAGGTGAGGGTGTGTTACAGGTGAGGGTGTGTTACAGGTGAGGGAGGGTGTGTTACAGGTGAGGTGAGGGTGTGTTACAGGTGAGAGGAGGGTGTGGTGTGTGTTACAGGTGAGGTGAGGGTGTGTTACAGGTGAGGTGAGGGGTGTGTTACAGGTGAGGTGGTGTGTTACAGGTGAGGTGAGGGTGTGTTACAGGTGAGAGGGGACAGGTGAGGTGTGTGTACAGGTGAGGGGTGTGTTACAGGTGAGAGGGAGGGTGTGTTACAGGTGAGGTGAGGGTGTGTTACAGGTGAGGTGAGGGGTGTGTTACAGGTGAGGTGAGGGTGTGTTACAGGTGAGGTGGAGGGTGTTACAGGTGAGGTGAGGGTGTGTTACAGGTGAGGTGAGGTGTGTTACAGGTGAGGTGAGGGGTGTGTTACAGGTGAGGTGAGGGTGTGTTACAGGTGAGGTGAGGGTGTGTTACAGGTGAGGTGAGGTGAGGGTGGTGAGGTGTGTGTTACAGGTGAGGTGAGGGTGTGTGCAGGTGAGAGGAGGGTGTGTTACAGGTGAGGTGATGGTGTGTTACAGGTGAGGTGAGGGTGTGTTACAGGTGAGGTGAGGGGTGTGTTACAGGTTTGGTGAGGGTGTGTTACAGGTTTGGTGTGTGTTACAGGTGAGGTGAGGGTGTGTACAGGTGAGCAGGTGAGGTGAGGGTGTGTTACAGGTGAGGTGAGGGGTGTGTTACAGGTGAGGTGAGGGTGTGTTAGGGACAGGTGAGGTGAGGGTGTGTTACAGGTGAGAGGAGGGTGTGTTACAGGTGAGGTGAGGGTGTGTTGAGGTGACAGGTGAGGGAGGGTGTGTTACAGCTGGTGAGGGTGTGTTACAGGTGAGGGTGTGTTACAGGTGAGGTGAGGGTGTGTTACAGGTGCAGGGGTGTGTTACAGGTGAGGGAGGGTGTGTTACAGGTGAGGGAGGGTGTGTTACAGGTGGGGTGAGGGTGTGTTACAGGTGAGGTGAGGGGTGTGTTACAGGTGAGGTGAGGGTGTGTTACAGGTTAGGGTAGGTGAGGGTGTGTTACAGGTGAGGTGAGGGTGTGTTACAGGTTAGGGTAGGTGAGGGTGTGTTACAGGTGAGGGAGGGGTGTGTTACAGGTGAGGTGAGGGTGTGTTACAGGTTTGGTGAGGGTGTGTTACAGGTGAAGGTGTGTTACAGGTGAGGTGACAGGTGAGGGGAGGGTGTGTTACAGGTGAGGTGAGGGTGTGTTACAGGTGAGGTGAGGGTGTGTTACAGGTGAAGGTGTGTTACAGGTGGTGGCAGGTGAGGGGAGGGTGTGTTACAGGTGAGGTGAGGGTGTGTTACAGGTGAGGGGAGGGTGTGTTACAGGTGAGGGGTGACAGGTGAGGTGTGTTACAGGTGAGGTGTGGTGTGTTACAGGTGAGGTGAGGGTGTGTTACAGGTGAGGTGAGTGTGTTACAGGTAGTGTTACAGAAGGTGACACAAGCGTAACTTTTTTATTATGCGAGGTTGTCATTCTACACTCGGTGATATTATAGGTCAACCATGTTTTATTGGCATTCTTGAGTGTTACCAGATATTACTTCACATGAACACAGTGTTACCAAGTGTTACGTCACATGAACACAGTGTTACCAAGTGTTACTTCACATGAACACAGTGTTACCAAGTGTAATCGTTATCTTGTGAATGTGAAACACGTTCTAAATCTCTTTTTATTTTTTTACGTGAAGACAAGTTTTTTAACATTCATCTGAGAATATTTTTGTCTGGTGATGAAACTTAACCTGACCTAACCTAACCTGACCTGACCTAACCTAACCTAACCTGACCTAATCTGACCAGTGTTCTACTTTTACTGAATACGAGCGCTAAGTTGTGGTGTTGCCTAAAAATCTGTAGCGCACCCTCACCTCATCTGTAACACTCCCTCCCCTCACCTGTAACACACCCTCACCTCACCTGTAACACACCGTCACCTCACCTGTAACACACCCTCACCTCACCTGTAACACACCCTCACCTCACCTGTAACACACCCTCACCTCACCTGTAACACACCCTCACCTCACCTGTAACACACCCTCACCTCACCTGTAACACACCCTCACCTCACCTGTAACACACCCTCACCTCACCTGTAACACACCCTCACCTCACCTGTAACACACCCTCACCTTACCTCACCCGTAACACACTCAGACACTGATCTGACACTATGACACTGACCTGACAATGACACTGACCTGACACTATGACACTGACCTGACACTATGACACTGATCTGACATAATGACACTGACCTGACACTAATCTAACAAATGACACTGACCTGACACTATGACACTGACCTGACACTATGACACTGATCTGACATAATGACACTGACCTGACACTATGACACTGACCTGACACTATGACACACCTGACACTATGATACTTACCTGACACTATGACACTGACCTGACACTATGACACTGACCTGACACTATGACACCGATCTGACATAATAACACTGACCTGACACTGACCTGACACTATGACACTGACTTAATACTATGACAAACACTATGACACTGACCTGATACTATGACAAACACTATGACACTGACCTGATACTATGACAAACACTATGACACTGACCTGATACTATGACCTGACATAATGACACTGACCTGACACGATGACACTGACCTGACAATATAACACTGACCTGACATAATGACAGTGACCTGACACTGTCCTGACACTATGACACTGTCCTGACACTATGACTCTGACCTGACATTGACCTGATACTATGACGTGATACTATGACACTGACCTGACACTATGACATGGTACTATGACACTGACCTAACAAGATAACACTGACCTGACATAATAACAGTGACCTGAAACTATGACACTGTCCTGACACTATAACATTGACCTGATACTGACCTGATACTATGACCTGACAATATGACACTGACCTGACCTGACAATATAACACTGACCTGACAAAATGACAGTGACCTGACACTATGACACTGTCCTGACACTATAACATTGACCTGACACTGACCTGATACTATGACCTGACAATATGACACTGACCTGACACGGTGACACTGACCTGACAATATAACACTGACCTGACATAATAACAGTGACCTGACACTATGACACTGTCCTGACACTATAACATTGACCTGACACTGACCTGATACTATGACCTGACAATATAACACTGACCTGATACTATGACCTGACAATATAACACTGACCTGACACTGACACTGATCTGACACTATGACACTGACCTGACACTATGACACTGACCTACACTATGACGCTGACCTACACTATGACGCTGACCTGACATTGACCTGATACTATGACCTGACACTATAACACTGACCTGACACTATGATACTGACATGACACTATGACACTGAGCTGACAATATAACACTGACCTGACATAATGACAGCGACCTGACACTGACCTAACACTATGACACTGACTTAATACTATGACAAACACTAAGACACTGACCTGATACTGACCTGATACTATGACACTGACCTGACACTGTGACACTGACTTAATACTATGACAAACACTATGACACTGACCTGACACTGACCTGATACTATGACACTGACCTGACACTATAACACTGACCTGACACTATGATTCTAACCTGACACTATAACACTGACCTGACACTATGATTCTAACCTGACACTATAACACTGACCTCACACTATGATACTGACCTGACACTATGACTTTGACCTGACAATATAACACTGACCTGACTTAATGACAGTGACCTGAAACTGACCTGACACTATGACACTGACTTAATACTATAACAAACACTATGACACTGACCTGATACTATGACCTGACATAATGACACTGACCTGACACTATGACCTGACATAATGACACTGACCTGACACTATGACACTGACCTGACACTATGACACTGACCTGACACGATGACACTGACCTGACAATATAACACTGACCTGACACTATAACACTGTTCTGACACTGCAACACTGACCTGACACTATGATACTGACCTGACACTATGACACTGACCTGACACTATGACACTCCTGACACTATGACACTGACCTGACACTATGACACTGCCCTGACACTGTGACACTGACCTGACATAATGACACTGACATGACACTATGACACTGCCCTAACACTGTGACACTGCCCTGACACTGTGACACTGACCTGACATAATGACACTGACCTGACACTATGACACTGCCCTGACACTGTGGCACTGACTGACACTGACACAGCCCTGACACTGTGACACTGACCTGACATAATGACACTGACCCTGACACCAAGACACTGACCCTGACACCATGACACTGACCTGACACTCATGACATTGACCTGACACTATGACACTGACACTATGACACTGACCTGACACTGACCTGACACTATGAACACTGACCTGACACTGACCCTGACACTGACACATGACACTGACCTGACACTGACCTGACACTATGACACTGACTGACACTGACACTGACACTATGACACTGACTGATGACTGACCTGACACTGACCTGACACTGACCTGACACTGACCTGACACTATGACACTGACCTGACACTATGACACTGACCTGACACTATGACACTGACCTGACACTATGACACTGACCTGACACTATGACACAGACCTGACACTGAACAGTTGCTGTCAGTTTCCACAGCTGCTGATGTGTACGAAGCTCTCGTGTCTCCACTGGGCATACGAACGTCTGTGGAGAGGGAAGGGAGAGGGATGAGAGGGAAGGGAGAGGGATGAGAGGGAAGGGAGAGGGATGAGAGGGAAGGGAGAGGAGGGAGAGGGCTAAGCGGGAAGGGATAGGGCTGAAAGGGAAGGGAGAGGGATAAGAGGGAAGGGATGGGGCTGAAAGAGAAGGGTTAGGGATGAGAGGGATGAGAAAGATAGGAGAGGGGTGAGAGGGAAGGGAGTGGGATGAGAAGAAAGGGAGAGGGATATGAGAGGGGTAAGAGAAAAAGTATAGGGAAGAAGAGAGATGAGTGAGAGAGAGGGAAGAGCGTGTAGTGAGAGATAGCGGAAGAGAGAGGGGTGAGAGGGAAGGGAGTGAGATGAGAGGGAAGGGAGTGGGTTAAGAGGGGTCAAAGCTTTCTCCTTTAAATATTATTAAGGGAAATTTACCTTAACTTTACCTTAAATATAATTGGATTTACCTCCCCTTAATACTTATCTTAACCTGATTTAAATTAGATCATAAGAGTGGAGGAAACTGCAGCATCCTATTGGCCATACTGGGCAGTCCCGTATACACCCAATCCCTATCGCTCATATATCCATCCAACCTGTGTTTGAAGCTATCCAGCGTATTCGAGTTAATGATGATATTTGGTAACTTGGTCCACTCGTCCACAACTCTATTTCCAAACCAGTGTTTACCTATCTCCCACCCAAATAAAAATTTGTCTAATATAAAACCATTGCTACGAGTTTGCTCCTGGTTGGATAGTTTGAGTACCTTTGTTATATCGCCTTTGTTTAGCCCTGACTTCCATTTATACACCTCTATCATGTCGCCCCTCACTCTACGTCTCTCAAGGGAGTGCAAATTAAGATGTTTTAACCTGTCTCTGTATTCAAGGTTCCTAATGCCAGGGATTAGTCTTGTCATTCTCCGTTGTATGATTTCTGGGGATTCTATATCCATTCTGCAGTGCCCTGACTAGCGCAAAATATAGTTTTAGCATGACCTCGCTAGTCTTGTAACTAACACTCCTTTGTATGAACCAAAGTACTTTGTTAGCCTTGTTTCGAGCAAATACACATTGTTGTTTTGGTTTATTATTATAATGTGTTTTAGCAGTTCCGTTAACAAGATAAAACTGGAAAGCAGAAAAAACTGTTCTGGTTTAAGTTTCCTCCTTATCATTACTCCTTAATCTTTCTCTCAGTCGGATTTATCTATAACAACTTTGTTCATCTGATATCTGGTTTATCTGTTTATATCTCTTAGACTAAGTACTTTACATTTGTCCACATTAAATTTCATCTGCCATTCAGACCATGCGAGAAATTTGTTTGCAGCTTCCCGTAATTTTCCAGAGTCCTGGTCTGATTTAATTACACGCCTTATTATAGTGTCATCGGCAAATTTACTTATGTTGCTGTCAATCCCTGCATTTGCTAAATGGTAATGGTACAAGTACTGAGCCTTGGGATACTCCACTAGTGACGTTACTCCAATCGGATTTAGTGCCGTAAAATGCTCACTCTCAGTTTCCTGACCTGTAACCACGCTCTAATTCAGCTTAGAACATCAGCAATTCCATGAGCCTCTACTTTATGTACAATATTTCGTGGTGGACTCAGTTGAAGGCTTTACTAAAGTCGAGATATACCACATCATAATCATGTCCGTCATCCACTGAGTCAAACACAATTGAAAAGAATGTTTATAGATTTGTTAGAAATGAACGCCCACTTGTGAAGCCATGTTGGGAATCATTGATCAACTTGTGCTTCTCCAGGTGATTTCGAATAGTTTGAAATTATTGCTTCCAGTAATTTGCCTACAATTGATGTTAGACTGACTGGACGGTAGTTAGAGGATAGTGATCTATCTCCCTTCTTGAAAATCGGTATTACATTCGCTATCCTCCAGGATTCTGTTACTACACCAGTTTTTAATGACATGTTAAACAACTTTGCTAAGGGCATACTAAGCTCTTCCTTACATTACTTTAATACTCTGGCTTTAGTTTGTCTATTTGCTTACTAATATCGTTACTAGTCACTACTATCTCGCTTAATCTATTTTCTTCACTATTTCTGTATATAGTCGGTGCCTCGGGTATCATGTTTAAATTTTCAGTGGTGAAAACTGTTGAAAAATATATGTTCCGATTATTGTTCATTTCTCCGTCGTTATCAGTTAGCTCGCCGGTATCTGACTGTATTGGTCCAATCTTATCTCGTGTTTTAGTTTGATATACATGGAAGAATCCTTTCGGGTTTAACTTCACCTACCTTGCTATCTTCAGTTCATTATTCCTCTTTGCTTTTCTTATCTCGGTCTTAACTCTACCGGCCAATACCTTATGATACTTCCGGAGGTAAACTTCACCACGATTTATTCCCCTACCTAAAGTCTTCCCCTGTCCAATTATTTATCCATTTAGGGTCATTGTTGTTTGATCTGAGTTTTCTGTATGGTATGTTCTGCTTTTGTGCATTAAGTAACTCATTATTTAAATTGTTATGGGACTCGTCAACTTCAGCTCTCGTGGTCAGGTCACTCTGTATCCAAGTTGTTTTTGTATTCAGTTCAGATTTTATTTCCTTATGGATTTCACACTTCAAATTATCCCTGTTTATCGGTATGAAATAATTTGTAACCTTTAATTTGGTATTCGACAGGTAACTCACCTGAAATTACCCAGATCCTTCCTTTAAACCCTTCACCACTATAGCATTTACCTTTAACTTAATCCTTACCTTAACCTTACCTTGAGGTTGGTCTCGCCGTCTAGGTTAGCCGTGGTGACGTCACAAGATCCTGTGGTGACGTCACTCTTGGCCTCGATGACGTCATGGCAGGTGAGCAACAGTAAGTCACAGGGGAACTCCTCGTCTCGTCTCACCTGTACAATGTCTCCAACTGAGATCTCCCGTCGGGGCACCTCCTGTGTGTGATTGTGTTCAGTTTTGTATGTATTCTTAGCAAAGTTAAATTCGGAAAACATCTTAAATTATTAGTTAAATTATTAAGTCCGAACAATAGAATAAATAAAACATCAGGAGGTCTATTGGCCCATGCTAGGCAGTCCAGCCTTCACCCAAATAGTATCACGCCTTAAGTAATTAGTGTCCATTCTATAGCACAGTGACCATAGCTGAACCACACAGTCCAAGATATACAGCAGGTCTAATTGTGAACCCAATCACCTTCTTAACCTTGTTTCGGGCATAAACACATTGTTGTTTTGGTTTAAGGCTTTTTACTTATCATTATCCCTAGATCTTTCTCATCAATGTTGTTCATCTGATAGTTAGTTTCTCTGCTTTTATTTCCAGATTAAAAGATTGTGATGTCCTGTAGTTCTGCAGAGTCCTCGTCAGATTTAATACACACCCTCTTTTAGTGTCTTCAGCAAATTTACTTATATTGCTGTCTACGCCTATATGTATGTCATTTATGTAAATGATAAATAATAATGGTCCAAGTACTGAGCCTTGGGGTACTCCACTAGTGACGTTACACCATTCATTTAGTGCCGTTAAGGCTGACTTTCGGATTCATGTCCGCTAACCACGCCCTAATCCAGTTTAGAATATCTCCTTCAATTTCATAAACCTTCACTTTTCGTATTAGTCTTTCGTGGGGGACTCTGTCGAAGGCTTTGCTAAAGTCATGGTAATTGCTGGAAGCAATAATTTCAGACTATTCGAAATCACCTTGGGAAGCACAAGTTGAACAATGATTCCCAACATGGCTTCACAAGTGGGCGTTCATGTTTAACAAATATATTAACATTCTTTTTAACTGTTTTCGAATCCGTGGATGACGGACATAATTATGATGTGGTATACCTCGACTTTAGCAAAGTCTTCAACAGTCCACCACGAAAGACTAATACGTAAGGTAAAGGCTCATGGAATTGGAGGAGATATTCTAAACTGAATTAGGGCGTGGTTACAGGACAGGAAACAGCGACTAAATATTAACGACATAATATGATTGTGTAGCTTCACTAGTGGAGTACGCCAAGACTCAGTACTTTGACCATTACTAATTATTATATACATAAACGATATAGATATAGGCGTAGACAGCAACATAAGTATATTTGCTGATGACACTAAAATAGGGTGTATATTAAATCAGACGAGGACCCCGCAAAACTACAGGAAGATCTAAAAAAAAAATTCACATGGTCTGAAAAATGGCAAATGAAATTTAAGGTGGACAAATGTAAAATACTTGGCTTAGGAGATGTAAATAGATAAACCAAATATCAGATGAACAACATTATTATAGAGAAATCCGACTGTGAGAAAGACTTCGGAGTAATGATAAGTAGGAGCCTTAAACCAAGACAACAATGTGTATTTGCTCGAAACAAGGCTAACAAAGTACTTGGGTTCATACAAAGGAGTGTTCGTTACAAGACTAGCGAGGTCATCCTAAAACTATATCTTGCGCTTGTGAGACCTCACTTGGATTATGCGGTTGAGTTCTGGTCACCGTATTACAGAATGGATATAGAATCCCTAGAAAAAATTCAGCGGAGACTGACAAGACTAATCCCGGGCATTAGGAACCTTGAGTACAGAGAAAAGCTAAAGCATCTTAATTTGCAATCCCTCGAGAGACGTAGAGTGAGGGGCGATATGATCGAGGTGTATAAATTTAAGTCAGTCTAAACAAAGGTGATATAACAAAGGTACTCAAACTTTCCAACAAGGAGCGCACTCGTAGCAATGGTTTTAAATTAGAAAAAAATAGATTTGGGCGCGAGATGGGTAAACATTGGTTTGGGAATAGAGTAGTGGACGAGAGGAACAAGTTACCAAACATAATCATTAACTCGAATACGCTGGATAGCTTTAAATATAGTTTGGGTGGATATATGAGTGATAGGGGTTGGGTGTAAACGGGACTGCCTAGTATGGGCCAAGAAGCCCGCTGCAGTTTCCTCCATTCTTATGTTCCTATGTTCTAATCGTCTCCGTCATCCTCTGATTCGAAAACAGTTGAAAAGAATGTTAATAGATTTGTCAGTCATGCTGAGTCCTTAATTAACTTGTGCCTCTTAACGTGATTTTTAATAGGTTTGGTAACTATTGCTTCCATTAAAGTGCACACAAATGGTGCTAAACTGAGTAGACTGTAGTTCGAGGATAGTGGTTTATCTCCCTTCTTGAAAATCGGTATCTCATTCACTATCTTCAAGGATTCTGGCATTACACTCTATTTTAATGACATATTTACATACTATCTCTACCAATTTAACACACTCACTACCGCTGATGCCACGTTTAATATTTTTTCTATCAACCCATATACTGTACACAAGGGATTTGCCAAAGATATAAGACTGGGGGAAACTCTGGTGGGTCATACTGGGCAGTCCCGTCTACACCCAACTCCTATCGCTCATAAATCCGTCCAATCTATGTTTGAAGCTACCCACCCTCCAACAGTACCCACCTTCGCCTCACCCTCCAGCAGTACCCACCTTCACCTCACCCTCCAGCAGTACCCACCTTCACCTCACCCTCCAACAGTACCCACCTTCACCTCACCCTCCAACAGTACCCACCTTCACCTCACCCTCCAGCAGTACCCACCTTCACCTCACCCTCCACAGCACCCACCTCACCCCACCCTCCAACAGTACCCACCTTCACCTCACCCTCCAGCAGTACCCACCTTCACCTCACCCTCCAGCAGTACCCACCTTCACCCCAGCCTCCAGCAGTACCCACCTTCACCTCACCCTCCAGCAGTACCCACCTTCACCTCACCCTCCAGCAGTCACCTCACCCTCCAACAGTACCCACCTCACCCTCCAACAGTACCCACCTTCACCCCAGCCCAGCAGCACCCACCTTCACCTCACACCTCCAACAGTACCCACCTTCACCTCACCCTCCAACAGTACCCACCTTCACCTCACCCTCCAGCAGTACCCACCTTCACCCCAGCCTCCAGCAGTACCCACCTTCACCTCACCCTCCAACAGTACCCACCTTCACCTCACCCTCCAGCATGTACCCACCTTCACCTCACCCTCCAACAGTACCCACCTTCACCTCACCCTCCAGCAGGACTCTGGAGGGGGAGTTGTTAACCTTGTTGTCCTCACGGTGCCTCAGCCAGTCCTCGTACCCCTGCTTCACCGCCGTCACACATATCACCAGCACCAGCGGCAGGACGCTCGTCAGGGGAGACACCGGGCTGTTGATGGTAACCTGAGGGAGGGAGTGTGTGTACTGGTTCTATTAAGGTGATTCTATTGTTTGGTTCTATTAAAGGGCTTCTGTTAAAATGAATCTGTTTAGTATTTCTATTGGAGTGTGTCATTAAAAAGGCTTAAAAGAGATGATTCGAGAATTCTGAATCAATTAACGTGGCTCTGTTAAAGTGATTCTATTAAACTATTATACTGTTGCTTAAATTTTCATATTTTATTGGTAGGTTAGGTTAGGTTGGGTTAGGTTAGGTTGGGTTAGGTTAGGTTTAAAGAAGGAAAGTTTTAATAATAAGGTGTTAGTAGGGTTATGCAATCATGACTTCGTACGCCTGGCATCGCAGAGTAGATATGAAATGGCATCCGCATGATTCACTTATCAACCTCTCACAATACTAAATGAAGTGGTTAGTTTAGTTTAGGTTGGGTTGGGTTAGGTTAGGTTAGGTTAGGTTAGGTTATGGTGCTTTGTTGTTGATAAATATTGTAGTGAAATACATCCATATACGAACGCTGATTGTTATTGTTGACATTTATAGCGTTCTTGATGATCGCCTGATTGAGTGTGTGACCTTCAGGTAGTAAAGACAGTAACCTAACCTGATGATTAAGCGTCCTAACAGTAACCCAACCTAACCTAACCCACACCTGAGTTGGCCTTACCCAGGGCTCGTGTGTGTTAACAGATAACGTAAGCCGTACACAAGGTCACTGTTTGTATCACGTTCGGGAGATAAAGAGATTGTGTCGACTACGATAATTAATTTGTCTAATTTTATCGAGTGAGTGAGAGAGAGAGAGAGAGTGAGTGAGTGAGTGAGTGAGTGAGTGAGTGAGTGAGTGAGTGAGTGAGTGTGTGTCTGTCTTAACAATACTGTGACTCACGTGGATAATAGCGAGGCACAGGAAGTAGAAGTTGGCCAGACGTCTGAACTGTTCAAACAAATTCTTGGGCAGGAAGGTCAGAAGTGTGTACTGGGAATAAAATATTTACCACTATAATAGATATATTTAAGGTCGAGGCTGCACTGGGATAAAAATAGGTGTTACAGTAGAAGCATTAAAGGTCGAGGCTGCACTGGGATAAAAATAGGTGTTACAGTAGAAGCATTAAAGGTGGAGGCTGCACTGGGATAAAAATAGGTCTTACAGTAGAAGCATTAAAGGTGGAGGCTGCACTGGGATAAAAATAGGTGTTACAGTAGAAGCATTAAAGGTGGAGGCTGCACTGGGATAAAAATAGGTCTTACAGTAGAAGCATTAAAGGTGGAGGCTGCACTGGGATAAAAATAGGTCTTACAGTAGAAGCATTAAAGGTGGAGGCTGCACTGGGATAAAAATAGGTGTTACAGTAGAAGCATTAAAGGTGGAGGCTGCACTGGGATAAAAATAGGTCTTACAGTAGAAGCATTAAAGGTGGAGGCTGCACTGGGATAAAAATTATAATATTGGACATTTTTTACTGAATATCGTCAAAGGAGAACGGTAAGCACTCGTCCTGGGTATAAATAATTTGCATCACATGAAGATTAGACACTCCATCTTAATTTACCTAATGATTAAACACCATTGCATTTTGTAAATTCACAGATAAACAAATAAACAGTGGAGGATGACTCAAGAGGATTTCCTGAACTGCGAAAACCAACTCTCTGGCATAAACAGCGAAAAACACCCTCGAGTTGCTTCAGTATTTATGTTTACAGCCGCATGTCGCAGTAATGTTGTTTATTCTTGGTTATTAATTATCTTAACCTTGTATAAACATAGATTAATACTAAAACAAAACCTTATTTATTTATGATGATTAGTTTTCGTGTTTCAGGAAGACCACAGGACGCTTACAACACTATGATATCAGTGGACGATGATAAGAGCTGTCAGTTGCCAGATTACATATTACCAATTACCAGTTGAACTGTGCATGGATATATTATAACTATCTCTGTTTAGCTGTTAATAATGTATCGATTAATTCAACCAATCTGCTGTCAACGGTGTCTCAGGGTTGGCGTCCACAGCCCTTCTGGTGTGTGTGTGTGTGTGTGTGTGTGTGTGTGTGTGTGTGTGTGTGTTTCTCTGGGCATAATTGCTATCCTTGTCTTCTCCTGGCCCCCTTACCATTAATAGCTCCACCATTATCTCAACCATTACCCATTAATATCTCTACCATTACCCATTAATATCTCTACCATTACCCATTAATATCTCTACCATTACCCATTAATATCTCTGCCATTACCCATTAATATCGCTACCATTATCTCTACCATTACCCATTAATATCTCTACCATTACCCATTAATATATCTACCATTACCCATTAATATCTCTGCCATTACCCATTAATATCTCTACCATTACCCATTAATACTCTACCATTATCCCATTAATATATCTACCATTACCCATTAATATCTCTGCCATTACCCATTAATATCTCTACCATTACCCATTAATATCTCTACCATTATCTCTACCATTACCCATTAATATCTTACCATATCTCTACCATTACCCATTAATATCTCTACCATTATCATTAATATCTCTACCATTACCCATTAATATCTCTACCATTACCCATTAATATCTCTACCATTATCCATTAATATCTCTACCATTATCCATTAATATCTCTACCATTACCCATTAATATCTCTACCATTATCCATTAATATCTCTACCATTATCCATTAATATCTCTACCATTACCCATTAATATCTCTACCATTACCCATTAATATCTCTACCATTATCCATTAATATCTCTACCATTACCCATTAATATCTCTACCATTATCCATTAATATTTCTACCATTATCCATTAATATCTCTACCATTACCATTACCATTATCCATTAATATCTCTACCATTACCCATTAATATCTCTACCATTACCCATTAATATCTCTACCATTACCATTATCCATTAATATCTCTACCATTATCCATTAATATCTCTACCATTACCCATTAATATCTCTACCATTATCCATTAATATCTCTACCATTACCCATTAATATCTCTACCATTACCCCATTAATATCTCTACCATTATCCATTAATATTTCTACCATTATCCATTAATATCTCTACCATTATCCATTAATATCTCTACCATTATCCATTAATATCTCTACCATTATCCATTAATATCTCTACCATTACCCATTAATATCTCTACCATTATCCATTAATATCTCTACCATTATCCATTAATATCTCTACCATTATCCATTAATATCTCTACCATTACCCATTAATATCTCTACCATTATCCATTAATATCTCTACCATTACCCATTAATATCTCTACCATTATCCATTAATATCTCTACCATTACCCATTAATATCTCTACCATTATCCCTGTCGCTTAGATAATTATAAACTTGTCGTTTTACTGTTTTACTTAAAGAAATAATGACTTAAGCTTTTCACCATATGTAATAACGGGTTGGTCGGTAAGTCGGCCTGTCAGTCGGTCGGTTGAGTGGTCGGTAAGTACAGTAGTGGAGGCGACTGTACCTGGACATACATACATACTGTACGGTCCTGTTAACGTCGGTGGAGACACGGGAATTGTCTTCATTCACGTGAAATAAGACACAATAACCTAACATGACGTATCCTGTCCTAACCTAACCTAACATGACGTATCCTGACCTAACCTAACCTAACATGACGTATCCTGACCTGACCTAACCTAACCTAACCTGACTTATCCTAACCTAACCTAACTTGATTTATCCTAACCTAACCTAGGCTATTCTAACCAAATTTACCTTACATAATTTAACCTAACTTAATCTAATTCACTTAACCAAACCCCCTTCGGTAGCATTAGGGTGTCTAATCCTCAGGTGAAATAAGCTAGGTGTTTAATCTTCAGATGGTGATTCGGAAGACAGATTGATGGGGGAAGACCTTGGCAGTAGTGATGGTGTTGCCTGGGTAGCGTGGGAGAGGCAGCAGGTGGGAGAACGGTCGACGGTTTATGAGTACTGTACGGCTGGTGGCAATCGGTACCTGTATGAGGGACAGGGAGAGATTCTTCTTAACTCGGCACACATACGTCAGTCATTCTTCTTAACTCGGCACACACACATCAACAAAGATGAAGTTACCTTATATTCAATTTTTTTTTCATTGATTTCCAAGTTAAATTTCCTGATTAATATACAAAATGACTTGAAAGTTACAATGTTTCTCCACATACCATATTATTTGGTGATCTGCCCCACACTTCAGATAAAGTCTCCCATAAGGTGTTTCGAAGTCCTTGTAACAACTCCCTCAAGACGGCCTGCATTCTTGATACACGCATAGGAGTAATATATATATTTATATAATATCACTTACATAAACATGGAGTATATTTTCTATATTACCTATGTTTAAAGTTCACTTAATATAGCTTTCACTTGGAGATTGAACGCGTATCATAGTTAAATATAGGGGAATTGCTCGCCAGAAGTCCACACTGTTTTATAATGAGTGGATAAACTGGGTGATATTACGTAAAAAAAAAGTGAATGAATGAATAGATTAATAGTTTTAATCACTGTGTTTTCAATGTCACGTTTTTCATTGTTGGTAAAGAAAAAAAGTTTAGTTATGGCAGAGTTAAAACTATATCATTATGGAGGTTAGGTTAAGTTAAAAACAGGTTAACTTTTATCGCACAAAGTACACTGGCACTAACACTGACATTAACACTGATACCACTACCACCAACTCGTGACACCACTACCACCAGCTACTGACACCACCAACACTGACAGCAGCAGCTCCCGTTAGCCAGTGTTGTAGACAAGTAGTGGAACAGTCACACGAGTACTGTACTTATCATCGCCTATCATGCTGCTCTGATAAAGTGGCCTATCATGCCTTTGTTCCTGTAATATGCTGTAGCATGTTGTTTGTGTTGTAGCTTCTTGTTTGTGCTGTAGTGTGTTGTTTGTGTTGTAGCTTGTTCTTTGTGCTGTAGCATGTTGTTTGTGTTGTAGTGTGTTGTTTGTGTTGTAGTGTGTTGTTTGTGTTGTAGCTTCTTGTTTGTGTTGTAGTGTGTTATTTGTGTTGTAGCGTGTTGTTTGTGTTGTAGCTTGTTGTTTGTGTTGTAGTGTGTTGTTTGTGTTGTAGTGTGTTGTTTGTGTTGTAGCTTGTTGTTTGTGTTGTAGTGTGTTGTTTGTGTTGTAGTGTGTTATTTGTGTTGTAGTGTGTTGTTTGTGTTGTAGTGTGTTGTTTGTGTTGTAGTGTGTTGTTTCTGTTGTAGTGTGTTGTTTGTGTTGTAGTGTGTTATTTGTGTTGTAGCTTGTTGTTTGTGTTGTAGTGTGTTGTTTGTGTTGTAGTGTGTTGTTTGTTAAGGGCATACTAAGCTCTTCCTGACACTCCTTTAATACTCTGGCAAATATCTCATCGGGACCTGGTGACTTATTAGGCTTTAGTTTGTCTATTTGCTTACTAACATCGTTACTAGTCACTACTATCTCACTTAATTTGTTTTCTTCACTATCTCTGTATAGAGTCGGAGCCTCGGGTATCATGTTTAAATTTTCGGTGGTGAAAACTGTTGAAAAATATTTATTCAGATTATAATCAATCGCTACAATTGTTTAGGGGGGGTTGTGTGTGAGTCAATATAGTGAGGGGGAGGGGAGAATATTGTTAGTAAGGTCAGGTATGGTGAGTTGTTGGGAGGATTTTAGGTAAGGTTATGTGATTGGATTTTTTTTTTTGGGGTGGGGGAGGGGGGCTTTGGAGGTAGTTAAGTTGATTTATGGTGTAGTAGGATTTTTTTTCTTTTTGAGATTGGTTGATTTGGGTTTTACTTGGGTGTGAGTTTGGGGTCGTGGGGTTTTGGTTGAGGGGGTGAGGAAGGAGGTGGTTGTTCTGTATAGCTGGGGCAGGTTAATGAATAGTTGTAGGGGTTAAATTTACTTATATACAATTTTTTTTTAACAGAGGTTGGGTAAGTCAGGTTAGGTTAGGTTAGGTTAGGGGGTAGTGGCTAAGAGAGGTGTTAGGTTTGATTTCGGGGGAAGTTGTTGGGTGTGGTTATAGGGAAGTTGGGGTTATTATAAGGGAGGTGGGAGGGGTGTGTTTGGTCTGTTTAGTATGGAGGGATTCCTGTTTCTGAATCTGTGTGGGACTGATGTTGTCGAAGTATTCCTGCCATTGAGGGTAAGTAGTGAGGAGTGATTCTATTTGCTTGTCACCAGTAGATGTTAAGTGGGGGGAGGGAGCTGAGTTCATGTAGATGTCTATTTGGGGTGAAGGATGACCAGTGTGTGTTGTGGATGAATCTTTGTGCTTTGTTTTGTAGGACTTGAAGTTTCTTGGCGTGTGATGGTGGTGCTAGCTGGAGTGTGTTAGGTGCATAAGTTCAATAGTGGGCGTATGAGGGCTTTGGATAGGTGTGTTTTGGTTTTTATTGATGCGGTTCTGAATCTGTGTATATTTCTGAGTGCTTTGTTTGCGATCGCTGACTTCGTCTTGGCGTGGTGTGTCATGGTGAGGGTGTCGTTAAATGTGATTCCTAGGATTGTGTTTGTTCGTTTGACAGTTATGGGTGAAGGGTAGGCGATGTAGGGGTTTAGGTAAATGTGACGTGGTTGGCGTCTTTTGGTGCCAAAGTAGGTGATTTGTGCTTTGTTCGCCATAGGAGTTCCCATTGTGTAATTCGTTCTAGCTCCCTGTGTGCTTTGTCTGTTAGGTGGTCAAGACTTGTGTAGTGTCTGACTAGTTGGGTTACATCGTCGGCGTACTGTATTGTCAAGAGAGTTGATGTGTAAGGGGTCGGGTAAGTCATTTGTGTAAAGAATGTATAGTGTTGGGGACAGGACTGATCCTTGTGGGACTCCTGCTTGCAGTGTGAAGTGGTCAGAGTAGGCAGATGTGAATTTTATCCTCATTTTTCTGTCTGTTAGGAAGTTACATAGGAATTGTTGTCATTTTTGAGGGAGGTTAAAATTGGTGCATATCTTATACTTTAATCCATCGTGCCAAACTGTGTCGAAGGCTTTTTGTACGTCTTTTGTAATGAGTGCTATCTTGTATGCATCTTTGTTCATGTGGAGGTAGTTTGTCATTATATTGAGTGCGTCTTGAGTTGAGTGGTGTGCTCTGAAGCCGAACTGCTTGTAGGACAGTAGTTGTTCATCTTCAAGGTGGTATCTGAGGAGGGTGTTGTATAGTCTTTCAAAAGTTTTGCCTAAGACTTCTAGTATGCTGATCGGTCTGTAGTTTTGTGGGTCTGTTGGGTTTTTGTTTGGTTTAGGTATCATGACGGCTGTGGCTGTCTTAAAGAGTTTTGGGAAGTAACCTGTAGCCAGTTGGGTGTTGTAGAGGTATGTAATGGCTGTGACTGTGTCTGGGGGCAGGTGCTTAAGGATTGCTTGACCTATATTGCTGTCGCCTGGTGTTTTCCTTTTTATTCTGTCTAGTGCTTGTTTGACTTCTGTTGGAGTGAAAGGAGCAGTGAGGATGTGGTTCCGTGTAAGTGTGGAGGTATCTATTGTGTTGTCAGGAGTTGTTCTGTCGTGTAGTGTTTGCATTTGTGTGGTGATGTTGTTTATGTGGTCTAAGATGTGCCTTTGTTGTGTGGGTGGAAAATGTGTTCCCAGTGTTGTTTTAGTGTTTGTGCTACGTCGGCTGGCTCATTGATTTTCCTACCATTTACTAGCAGGTGATCAAAGGGGGGTTTTGCTGTTCCTTTCAGCTTGGCGATCCTTTGCCAAAATTCTCGGGGGTTATGTGTTCTGTGTTCCTGGGCAGCCTCTACGAGTTTTGCCCAGTGAACGTCATGCTCTTGACGGAGGCTGTGGATGATGTGTGTTCTTAGTGTGGAGATGTCTGCGTAAAATGATGCTAGGTTAAGTTTGTTTAGTTCGTATCGTGACCTGTAGCAGTGAAGTAAGCGTTGAGTTCTTATGGAGGGTGTGAAGGAGTATTTTCTCTTGAACTGGTGTTTTGGAATGTGGGTATCTGCTATGGCGGTGATAGTGTTGAAGAGGTGAAGCCACGAGGATGTTGAGAATTCCTCAAGGGGGGAATGGAGAACCACTGGACCCTTAGGTTCTCTTTTATATGGCGATTATATACTGTGTAAATCTGTAGTTAAGTCTTGTGTAAATCTGTAGTTAAGTCTTGTGTAAATTTGTAGTTAAGTCTTGTGTAAATCTGTAATCAAGTCTTGTGTAAATCTGTAGTTAAGTCTTGTGTAAATTTAACATATAGTAACATAAATGAGAGAGAGAGAGAGAGAGAGAGAGAGAGAGAGAGAGAGAGAGAGAGAGGTGAGGAAACGATACTTGGAACAGAGGAGAAAAACTGGAGAGACACAGTATTGGTATCATGGTTTCTCAGCTTATTTTACTGAACCTGTTGCTTATGTTAGGTGATGCAGCATTATTACTGGCACACAGGTGGTACTATTACTGGCACAGAGGTGGCACTATTACTGGCACACAGGTGGTAGTATTACTGGCACACAGGTGGCACTATTACTGGCACACAGGTGGCACTATTACTGGCACACAGGTGGCACTATTACTGGCACACAGGTGGTACTATTACTGGCGCACAGGTGGTATTAGTACTGGCACATAGGTGGTACTATTACTGGCACACAGATGGTACAATTACTGGCACACAGGTGGTAGTATTACTGGTACACAGATGGTACTATTACAGACACATAGGCAGTACTATTATTGGCACATAGGTGGTACTCTGTAAATACAAACGCCAAGGTACTCTGTTGATATCTTGTACTGTGTGTGTGTGTGTGTGTGTGTCAGAGATCAGCCATCGTTATTCAAAGGTGTAAAATCATTGTACTGAAAGTCTTGTTATGTCATTGTATTCGTCGGTGTTAAGTCATCGTACTCAAACGTGTTAGGTCATCATACTCAAGATATTATGTCATTATACTCAAAGGTGTTAAGGTAGCATAGTTAATGATTAAATCATTGTACAAAAAAGGTTAAATCATTGTACTAAAATGGGTAAATCATTGTACTAAAATGGGTAAATCATTGTACTAAAACGGTTAAATCATTGTACGAAAATGGTTAATCACTGTACTAAAAGTGTTAAATCATTGTACTAAAATTGTTAAATCATTGTACTAAAACGGTTAAATCATTGTACTAAAATGGGTAAATCACTGTACTAAAATGGGTAAATCACTGTACTAAAACGGTTAAATCATTGTACTAAAATGGGTAAATCACTGTACTAAAATGGTTAAATCATTGTACTAAAATGGGTAAATCACTACTAAAATGGGTAAATCACTACCAAAATGGGTAAATCACTGTACTAAAATGGGTAAATCACTGTACTAAAATGGGTAAATCGTATTCACAGATAAATAAACCGAACAAAATCAATAACAGCAACAACAGGATGGTGACACTTTTTACAATAAACTTTCTATTTAGCAAAAAATAAAAAATAACAATATAAAAAAATAAAAAACCTCTTGTGGACACTGGTCTAGACTAGTTAAAACATGTGTGACCAGGAAGCTTTGGCGTTTATGGGTAATATTAGGTTAAAACAGGTCTTTAACATTATCCACCCCTTGAAAGTTGTTTTGGATAATATGAAAGTGTAATGATGACAATTTGTTCCTCTTGTTCTTATTGTTATTATTTATTATTATTATTATTATTATTAGTATTATTATTATTATTATTAAGAAGACGTATTTATTGAACCTTAGTTGTTGAAGCTAAGTAATACATTATAACAAGACCTTAGTTGTTGAAGTTTAGTAATACATTATAACAT